ATAAGAATAAATAAGATGAAAACCAAACAATCCATGTGTGTTCCAGTTTTTGATTATTTTTTTTTTAATTTTAGCAGATAAAATTGGACATGAAAAATAGTAATCTGTGTATCATTCATTTGTTTTTCAAAATAAAATATAAAATAAGAAAACGAAAAAACAACTGTTTTCTTGATTATTTGTCTCCAAAACCAAAATGAAAAAATGGATCATGATTTGTTTTTTCAGGTTTTCATTTTGTGTTTAAATGAAAAATGGAAAAAAACGGATAACGGCCGTTTCCCGTTTATGTGACTGAAACTGCGGACTTTTGCTGGACTTTTGCTGGACTTTTGCCGGACTTTTGCATACGGACTGAACCAGGACTAAAACGGGACTAAACCAGGACTAAAACGTTTTCAGTCCCGGCCTGGTTCTGGTCTCAATCCCGGGATGGTCCCTGTCTGGACCCGATCTCAATCACGGCCTGGTCCTCGTCTGGTCCCAGCGCAAGTCCTGGTCCTGTTCCTGGTCTCAGTCCTGGTCTCAGGCCTGGTCCAGTTCCTGGTCTCAGTCCTGGTCTCAGGCCTAGTTCTCAGTCCTGGTCTCAGGCCTGGTCCCAGTTCCTGGTCTCAGTTCTGGTCTGGTCCCGGTCTCAGTCCTGGTCTCAGTCCTGGTCTCAGGGTCCTGGGTCTCCAGTTCCTGGTCTCAGTCCTGGTCTCAGTCCTGGTCTCAGTCACGGTCCTGGTCCTGAGTCTGGTCCCGGTCTTGTCTAGCCTCAGTCTCTCTCAGGCCTCAGTCCCAGTCTCATTTCTGGTCCTGGACCCGGGTTCAGTCTTGGTCTGGTCCCGGTCTAAGTCCTGGTCTCAGTCCGGTCTGGTCGGACCTGGTTTAGTCCTGGTTCAGCCCATTATTCATTTAAACACAAAATCAAAAACAGAAAAAAACTAATCATTATCTGTTTTTTTCATTTTGGTTTTGGACACAAATAATGAAAAAAATAGTTGTTTTTTTCGTTTTCTTATTTTTGTTTTTATTTTGAAAAACGAACAAACGATACACGGATTAATCGTTTTCAGAGCCTTTTTTGCTTAACTTACAAATTATGGCACAAAAAATAATAATTGCAGCCAAATAATACAGCCGATTTGAGAGTTTTTTTGTAACTAAAAAGCAATTTCTGAATTCCAAAACCAAAATGATTGTTCCTGTTACGTCTTCATTCAGTCGCATTGTTGCCTGCCGCTTTCAACACCCTAATTTTTATTTTTTTTCATATTTCTGCGTCAGAGCGTTGCAAATGGCTCGACTTTATTACCATTTTAAGAATACATAAAAGGTTTCTGTTCTGTCGTTCAGAGCTCGGTTGTTCAAATCAGAATGTTTCTTGAAAAGTGTGGCTCTGACTCAGGAGTGACTCACGGTTAAACGGCAGAAATGTGTCACTTCAGATTTGTCCTCTGAAAAAACTGCGTCGTCATGGCCATAGAGACCACAGAGACACGGCGGCGGTGCGTTTGTGGTTTGGGGTTTGGCGAAGTTTTACGGGGAATATTTGAGCTGCGATGGTGAATGACGAGACAGAATCGGTGGACAGAGGAGAAAAGAGTTCATAGATTGTAAAAGGGTCGAGATCGAGACCCGTCCGGGATCACAGGGTCTCGTGACAAGGACAAAAGCGAGACCTCTGAGGGTCGAGATCGAGACAAGACCGAGACTTTTAAAGGCCCATCGAGATCAAATCGAGGCCATTTTTGTAAGAGATCGAGACAAGACCGAGAGTTTAAAGGTCGAGATCGAGACAAGACCAAGAGTTTTAAAGGTCAAGCCTGAGACAAGACCGAAACACTGCCCATGAAGACCAAATGAGACCATCTCTGTAAGAGACCGAGACTTTTAAAGGCCAAGACCAAGACCATGGCGCATTGAGACCAAACCAAGACCATCTTTGTAAGAGACTGAGACAAGACCAAGACCTTTAAAGGCCCATCGAGATCAAACTGAGGCCATGTTTGTACGAGACCGAGACAAGACCGAGACTTTTAAAGGTCAAGACCGAGACCATGGCGCATTGAGACCAAACTAAGACCATCTTTGTAAGAGACTGAGACAAGACTGAGATGTTTAAAGGCCGAGACCGAGACAAGACCAAGACCACTGCCCATCAAGGACAAATCGAGACCATCTTTGTAAGAGACTGAGACTTTTAAAGGCCAAGACCGAGACCATGGCACATTGAGACCAAACTAAGACCATCTTTGTAAGAGACCGAGACAAGGGACATTGTCTCAAGACAAGACAAGACCTTTAAAGGCCCTTCAAGATCAAACAGAGACAATGTTTGTAAGAGGACGAGACAAGAACGAGACCTTTAAAGGTCAAGACCGAAACAAGACTGAGACCATGGCCCATTGAGACCAAATCAAAACCATCTTTGTAAGAGACCAAGACAAGAACCAAGACTATGACCTATCAACGCCAAATTCAGGCCATCTTTGCAATTTTCGACATTTATTTGTATTTTACAGATTTTTTGACACATTTATATCAGCGTTTTTATAAATCGATCTCCTTTTTATCACTTGTCGAGACTGAGATAAGACCAAGTCCAAGCTCCTTCAAGACTGAGACAAGACCGAGGTCAAACACTTTCAAGACCGAGACAAGACTGAGTCCACGCTCCTTCAGGCCTGAGACAAGATCGAGTCCAAACACCTTCAAAACAAGACCAAGTCCAGGCTCTGCAAAAACTCAAATCTAGTCATGTTAAGATGACTTGAATTAACAGAGTTTAATCGTGACTTGAGTAAATTTCGCTTGACAAGTAAAATGATCTGCTAGTGGAACAAGACTTTTTGTACTACATTTAAAATAAGAAAACCAAGAACTTAAGCACTTAAAATAAAAAACTAAATCTAACGTTGCTTGAATTAAGAAAAACACACTTGGTCCATTGGAAGATCATTTTGCTTGTCAAGTTGAATCTACTAAAAGAAAGTAAAATGTTCTTAATTTAAGCCATTGTTTTTTTGCAGTGAGCGCCTTCAAAACCGAGACGCGGTTGAGTCCGAGACAAGACCAAGACCGCAAAAAGACCAGTCTCGAGTACTATGACACTACGTTACATTAAAAATTGTCACCCCTCTCTCTGTAACTGCTGCATTTTGCTCTTAAAATGTTCGTATTAACCCGCTCTACGTGATTCTGGAGTTTTTATTTTGCAACTTTGCGCGGCTCCAAATTTGCTCCTGTAACCGTAGCTTCGATGAGCTTCATTTGACTGAAACCGAACACTCCTTTAGTCCACTTCTTTATAGAATCTGTGACAGGGTTACAAGATTAATCGCAAATTAATTTCAATGCACGCAATTAATAAATGACAAAAGCTACAGTTTTTGAAGTACAATAAATTCCGAACTTTCCCTGTTAACAAACATGTTCTGAAACGCGAGTCTCGTATTAGTTTGTCAGTTCAGATTCCGGTGTTTTCTTCTGGAAAATGTGAAATGCTATTACAAAACATCAACCGCAAATCTAACTCGATTGCAACGGTTGTCAGGAAATCTTGATATTTTTCCCAAAGCGGAGAGCGCGCTGTTTTGTGAATACATGTGCGAAGGAAAACTTGACATCTGCACTTGCTTTTTATTTCTGTTTTCATCTACTTTGGTCACATTTTGGGGTTTATTGAAACAAGAGATTCAGCTACAAAGCGCTTTCATTTGTAGATTTACACTGGTTGATAAGACTCGGCTAAATAATGTGGTCCAAAGCGAAAAAAAGAAATTATTATTATTATTATTATTATTATTATTATTATTATTATTATTATTATTATTATTATTATTATTATTATTATGTGTGCTTGGAACAAAACTGAAGTATCTGGGTCTATAATTTATCAAATTTTTGTCATATAAGAAATAATCTAACGTCAAACAAAGATTTTGCCACATCTAAATTATTGCATTAGTAAAAACTCCTCTTAAATGATCTGAAACTATCTATAAAAAAAAAAAAAAAAAAAAAATCACTTAAGGTCACGTTTTGGGCTAAACCAGGACTAAAACCAGAACTAAATTAGGACTAAAACCAGGACTAAACTAGAACTAAACCAGGACTAAACCAGAACTAAACCAGCACTAAACTAGGTGTAAACCAGGTCTAAAACCAGGACTAAACCCAGACTAAACTAGGACTAAACTAGGACTAAACCAGGACTAAACCAGGACTAAACCAGGTGTAAACCAGGTCTAAAACCAGGACTAAACCCAGACTAAACTAGGACTAAACCAGGACTAAACCAGGACTAAACTAGGTGTAAACCAGGTCTAAAACCAGGACTAAACCCAGACTAAACTAGGACTAAACTAGGACTAAACCAGGTCTAAACCAGGACTAAACCAAGGACTAAACCAGGTGTAACCAGGTCTAAACCAGGTCTAAATCAGAACTAAACCAGGACTAAACCAGGTGTAAACCAGGTCTAAAACCACGACTAAACCCGGACTAACCCAGACTAAACTAGGACTAAACTAGAACTAAACCAGGACTAAACCAGGTCTAAACCAGGTCTAAACAGGACTAAAACAGGATTTAACAGGTCTAAATCCTGCTGCGTGGACGTGTCTCCTCCTCTTCTATCAATAATATTTTTTAAATACGGTTCAGTAAAGTCTGGGCTTTTTATTTTCTTTTATCAGACAAAACTTCTGATGTTTCGATTTCCTCGTCTTTGCTTCTCTACAACAAATCAAGTAATCCAAAGTATTCAGATTACATTACTCACATTAAATAATTTAATATATTACGTTACAAGATACATTTTGGTGTATGTAATCTGTAATCTGTAGGGGATTACATTTTAAAAGTCACCTTCCCAACACTGTAAACCGATATATCGAAAAGGACACTGCACACAATAATGACTTCACAGCTCTTTCTCTTTCTCTCTCTCAAATGTCACTCTGTCAAATTCTGCGAGTGGTTTATTAATAAATCCAAATTGTGTCTGTGTGCAGGTCGCTCCTGTCTGTTCCCTTTCGAGGACGGTTTCCTCGACGACGGGCACGGCGACCCCTCGTTGACCCCGGGGATGACCTCTCCGAACCGCTGTCCGAGCGGAGAGAGGCTCGAGCGCTTCTCCAGGAAAGTGTTCGTGGGAGGACTGCCCCCAGACATCGACGAAGGTGCAGACAGACATATTTTATTACCCAAAATATTCTGAAGACAAGTAGATTATTTATTTATCTGATCAAATACAGTTTTATAAGGAGTATTTACTGTACAATTCTAAGCAAGAAGGTCCTGGGTTTGACTGTGCATGTTTCCTTCAGATGGTTTCTCGATAGTCTTCCTCCTTGGGCGAGGATCACCGGAAAATGAGATAAATAAATAAATAATAATTAGTAGGGATGCAACAATAACTGAAATATCGTGATATCGTATCGTCAAAAGTCTCACAATATGGGTCCCGGTCAAGCAGAAGTAAACAACAAGGCCAAAAATTCAAGTTAATTCATCTGATATAAAAATGTATTGAACAGATACATATGTACTCTAGTTTATGAAACTGTTGACCTTTTTTCTGTTCCATTTTTGGTTCTAAAGTTCCATACGTTTTAAACAGACCATGTATGAAACATGGAACAAAAATTATTTCCCAAATTTCAAAGACCCAAAAATCATGTAAATAAATGGATGTATTTCATCATATCTTGTGTTATTCCATCTTTGAACTGTTGATGAAGGTACATGATTTTTCAAAAAAAATTTATTTAAAATTATAAAAATTTGCTTGGAAGGACTGACATATTTTATAGAAATAGTTTCCTTTCATTTTGAAGTAATATTAAAGTATTCGGAAGAAAAAAGTTGACAAATTATGTAAAATCCTGCACCTTCTACTTGTTTGCACAATTTTCCCTCCGTTACTTTTCCCTCCGTTACCATGACCTTTCTTAATAAAAAATCAGTCAAAAAGTAAAAGGTTTTTCAACCTAATCTTGTACCATATGGTAGAAAACTATATGAAGCAAATATTCAAACCAGTTTGTTAAGGATATGTAAGTGAGAACCAAGAGTTATCACTGTTTGGATTTATTGCCCAAAAAGTGCTGCATATTTCATTCCCTCCGTTACCGACATGAGTTTTTAAATTTTTTGTCAACAACTTGAAAGAATATCACAGGTTTAACTTGACCCTGTTGGAGTGTAACTCTTTCCTACATTCTGATACTTTACTTATTTCAATAGTTCCTCTAGTTTCTGAATAAGAGACATTTGAATGTCAAAAATCTGCCCCTGTTTCCCTCCGTTACCACTTGACCGGACCCAATAATATGGTGGGCTGTTACAATATATTGAATCACAAGTTCCTTTGCTTAAATACATGGTTTTATAGTAGCAACAGCTTATAAACATGGGGAAACTACATATCCCATGATTCATTTCAGCTCAGACAACATGAAGAAATATGTTTTTTACTTGAATTCTTGGGATTATGACAGTAATAATTCACACCAAAATCTTGTCAACATATTTTAAAAGCAAAAAAGTGTCCTATCTACAATAATATCAGCCTCTCCAAAATATCACAATAAATATCACACCATGAGATGTATATCGTGAAAATATTGTATCAAGAGATTTGGATATCGTTACATCCCTAATAATTAGGGATGCACTGCTCCAGAGTTTTTCACTTTTGATACAAATTTCAAAATACAAAGTATCTGCTCATTCAACACCAGCGCAGAGACTGATAACAGCAAAATCGCAGCTTCACGGACTTTAACCGTGTTATAGTTGTTTCCCCTCATCATTTACTTTCCCAAAGTTGTATTTGGAATGATTCGTGCATGTTTGAGTAGAAAGGAGAAATTCAATTTTTAAACTGGACAAAAGTTTATTTGGTCGAATACATTTTGCAGCTCATCCAAGCTGCTTCTTCAGTTCTGGTCAGACGCTGGTGGCCTGATTCATCAGTCTGACCTCGCAGCATTAGGATTCGTTCACTCGACAGTAGGCGAGTACTTTTTTATTTAACCAATCGCGGCTATTTGGTCGTGACGTATGGAACGCGCCGGACGCTCAGTGGTGTCGAAGTAATTGTCAGCACAACAGCAAACAAAGCAGAGAGTGAACACGTCTGTCAACGATCATTGTCGTTTCTGTGAGGTGAACTTGCGAATTAAAGGTGTATTTGACAAAGGACGTCCAAAGTAGGATAGCCTATGCAGTCTTCTATCGCAACTCAGGTTGGTTCAGCTCTTCACTGATTGGCCGGTGCAAACTCTACAACTACAAGCGGCTCTTGCAAACCATCTAGCGTATTCCGACTCCTGACCTAATCGCCGGAGAGAAATGAAATTGAGCGGAGGCACTAGGTGGTGTCAGCCTGACTAAGACACTGGTGGACACTTCCTTATGTCTGCCTGCAGGGAGGAGCTAACTACAATGAAACTACTCTGAAACTAACACCGTATTTCTCCTTTTGCCATGGATTCTTCCTGAATAACTGAGGGATTTTTCACATTATTTCACAATATCTGAGCAGGCTTTAATCGCTTATTTCCAAGACACCATTTTGCCGATCACCTCCTGTGTTCAATGCCACCGGTACATTCCATTGCTCTGTACTTACTGTTACTTACTTACAATTTTATTTTCTTAACTGGTGATACTCGCAGAATTCAGCAGTGAAGCGTAGTCAATTTGGTACAAATGAAAAAAGCTGCTCTCTAGTGTGATCTGCAGCGAACTTGTTTCTTTAGACCAGGGGTGTCGAACTCATTTTGGTCCGGGGGCCGTATCCAACCTACTTTGATCCCAAAGGGGCCGGATCAGAAAACTCATGTCATATAAACCCCAAAAATAACAATAAGTTCAAATATTCGTGCAGAGAAACGCAAATCTATTACAGAAATCTTTTTTAATTGATGAACTCTTTCTTATTATAATATTATAATATTATGAACAACCTGAAACTTGTCTGCAAATAGGAATAAGTCATTTTTTGAGGAAAATCCTGCACTCGGCTCCACTTTTCTCATTTTGGACATTTTTCTGATGAGGGTGTCACGGTCAACAGTCAAAACGATCGTCCTTTAAGAGCGTTTGGAAAGAGACAAGTCTTCATTTGTGCTGCTCTGGTGGGAGGGGCCACGTACAGAGACGCTGGAGACGCTGCTGTGATAAACACCACAGAAAATTAACAATGTTTTAATAGAAAATATAATTAAAATATTTTAGTAGAAAATCACCCAAGGGCCACATTAAAGGTCTTGGAGGGCCGGATCTGGCCCCCGGGCCTTATGTTTGACACCTGTGCTTTAGATGAATATTCCGATTTAAAATGAGCAAATTATAACATAAAAATCCACAGGCGTCATCGATTATAACTACAGGAGCAGACGCAAGCACAAGTTTTCTTTAAGCCAGAGAGGCCAGATGTCACAAATTGAAACCCAACTCCAGATGAGCTTTTGAAACTTTCTTGTTGTTTTAGACGTCGCCTTAGAAATGAAGTCAAATCAATGCATTTTACTGCAGCTGCGTCTCCTGAACTGTGCACCGTCCCGTTCCCCCCGCATGTAAAACCGCCGTTATTATGCATCAGAGCGGAGCAGTCGAACACATGAATTTGACATGAGCACGAATCTCTCTCAGTATCTCCGCCTCTCCTCCATCTCTGCTCCATCTCTGCCGCTGACCGCTGAACCAAGCCGCGTCCGTGCCCTCGCTGTGCTCAAATATTCATGAATTTCCACACTGGAGCTCCGGAAAGCAGACCCGCACGTTCTGTTTTAATGCAACGGTCGATCCCGTGGTGCAAATAGCTGCCGTACATGTCCTCGCGTGGCTTTTTCGGACGCGCGCGACATGAGGAGGCATCCGAGTGTGAGGAAATGGGGGAGTTAGAACGATACAGACGCGTGGACAGGACTTCTCGACGCGTAAACGGGCTCAGACGAACGGGAGATACACGGGAGAGGTGGAAAATTGTAATGCTGTAAGGCGCGGTTTTGTGTCAGCGGAAAGTTCAAGCGAAGTTGGTGAGGGCTGTGAAATAGAGAAGTTAGATTAGTTTCAGAATCCACGGGGACTGGGAGGGAGCGAGATCGAACCAGCGGTGTCCAGATTATGGCCCTGGGAGCTAAACGCGGCCCTCAGAACAATTTTTATTCGACTGTTTTCTACTAAACCAGACCAAACGAACATAGGCAGTCATTTCAAATCACAAATGTAAGTTAATCTCCCACTACGACCTCAATAAACTAATGTTTTATGAATATTGTGGTTGCATATTGTGCAGGGATGTAACAATAACTGAAATATCGTGATATCGTATCGTCAAAAGTCTCACAATAAGGCAAGGCAAGGCAAGTTTATTTGTATAGCACAATTCGTACACAAAGTAATTCAAAGTGCTTTACAGAATAAGAAATACATTAAAATCATAATAAAAACAAATCAAAACATAAATAATCATGAAGATTAAAATTAAAAAAGAGAGACATAAATTGGAGAGAAGAGTGCGGAATGAAAACCTTTCAGTCATATGCACAGTTAAACAGAAATGTTTTGAGTCTGGATTTAAACAGCGTCACAGAAGAGTCTGTCTCACATGTTCAGAAGACTGTTCCAGGTTTTAGCTGCATGAACCTGAAACGCTGACTCCCCTTGTTTAGTCGTGACTCTGGGCACCAGCAGGAGGCCGGTCCCTGAGGTCCTCAGAGTGCGAGATGGTTCATATGACACTAACATGTCACAGATGTACTTTGGTGCTCGGCCATGGAGAGACTTGTACACAAGCAGAGCTGCTTTAAAGTCTATTCTCTGAGGCACAGGAAGCCAGTGCAGAGACCTGAGCACAGGACTTATGTGCTCGTACTTCCTAGTTCGAGTAAGGACCCGAGCTGCAGCATTCTGGATGTTCTGGATGTTCTGGATGTTGTGGATGTTGTTCTGGATGTTCTGGATGTTCTGGATGTTCTGGATGTTCTGCAGCTGTCTCACAGCTCGTTTGGAGAGACCAGTGAGCAGAACATTACAGTATCTAACCTACTGGAGACAAATGCATGGATAAGTTTCTCCAAGTCTGCTTTAGACAGTAAACCTTTGATTTTTGCTATGTTTTTTAGATGGTAAAAGGCTGCAGATGTTATTGATTTTATGTGACTGTTAA